TTATCCAATTTGGTTGTACGCATGTATAATGACAATAAAGGCTTCATTCATTATAGTTATACTGCTGTTGAGCCTCCTCCTCCTCTCTCTGTTACAGTAGATACTCGTCTTCAAGCTCAACATCCACACTTTCTTATCACATTCCACCGAAACCTGCATGAATTAGGACCTGGCCTGTTCATGTCAGAGCTAACTGGACAATAACACTCGTCCTCCTGTTGGAGGCCCAGAGGAAAACTGTCCATCACACCCGGAAATGGAGGCTCTTTGCTGACTGAGATCCTCCGGGAACTTTGTTCATCCCAACGCTGATTTACTCTGCTGTGACCAATAAATGCCATATTTGTACTCTTGATCTACTCTTGTTTATTCTCAGGCTTCCAGCTAAAGAATCGGGCTAACGGACAGCACACACAGGATCGAGAACCGGAACCCGGGCCCCTGATCCTCAGCCCTACCACCTGATGTCTGGGTCCCACATCACTCAAATCCAGCCCGATTAAATCTTATCATTCTAACTGTAAAAAAACAACTGATCGCAACACAATTCAGTTCAGTTCTCTGCCCGGAGCAGGGCAGGAAAAGGCTACGGGATGCTTCCTGGTCAATGGAAGTGAGGACCTTACAGGTAGAGACGGATCGGCTTCCTGGACCCAACTCGATCGGATTCTACTTCTAAAAACTTCTACTTCTAAAGAAGTTGTAACAAGGAATAACATTTCTGTGTGAAGTTCAGAGAAACCCTCAAGCCAGAGGGAAATCAAACTAAAGTCTGAGTGACCCAAGCCCCTGAAGCTGAAGTCATAAAAAGCTTCCCTCTTGTTTTTTAGATGGATCTCTGTCTCGTTTGCAGAAAGGCTTTCAGGCCTTATTCGCTGGCGACTCGTAGCTGCTCAAATCAGATTTGTAGCCGATGCTCTTTGCAGGCGGCTTAATTCTCTGAATCCCACAGCATCCTGCTCCGTGCACGCCTCTGAAATGCCTTCTGTGTGGGAGGTGAACTTCACCTGAGCGGTGACTCATAGCCCGGAAGCCAAAGCTGCCACTTTCCATCCACAGAAACACATCAAAACCAACCGACATGTTCAAGGTTCATTTACAAAAGTCTCACATTGTACTCTTAATAAGGGCTACCAAAGAAAAGCTTGTCCCATTAATATGGTTTGCCCAAACGATGCCTAACTACAAGAACAGTACAGTTACACTTTTTGAATCAAGATATATTTCTTTAACGATTGTATAGAATTTAGGTAAAAAATGTATATGTATATTTACATACATATAACAAGTCCAGATTTAGTTTCAAATGGAAATTCAATATTTTGTTCCAAGAACCTCCCTTAAAATGATCACTGACTGCTGATGAGTGGCCTATCTGACCATGTCAGTGGGAATTAAACCAATTTATTTTAGTGACCACAGCTTTCTGACCATGGCGTGGCAAAAAGAAACAGAAGAAATTTCTGCAGGAAGCTGATAATGAGAGAAGAGGCAAGACAAAGATAAGGGGGGATATTCATGGCCTCCAGGTCATAGGTGACTGCGTTTTGCTCAACAAGAAAACACATTAAGACCGCTGCATCTCCACCAAAGAAAAACCTGCATCCTTTCAGAGCCGAACGCACAGGCCTGACCTCCTCTGATGCTCTGGATTACTGAGATTTGCAGATAGTTTGTGTTGTTGTGGGCCAGAGTACCTCCAAACCTGACAGACAACAGAGGAAGTTAGAGGCCTGGCATGTTTTGAGATACTTTTCATGGCTTTACGGTTTGGAACTTGAGCTGTCTGTCCCAGAGAATCCCTCAAACGGACTCATCTCTCCTTCCACCTCTGGATGGTAACAGAAACTGTGTGAAAGTCGTGGTCAAAACCATTTCTTTCCAACACTAAGATGTAAGTGAAATGCCTCCCTTTCACTTTCCTTTTCACAGAAAGCCACGAGGGCTGTGTTGTGTAAGTTCTATTCCTAAGCAGGAGCCTTAGTCCGTCCAAGTGAGTAAGAAATAACAATCAATTCATCAAATGGAAAAAGCTTCATGAAGAGAAGACTTTCATATCGTATCGAGTGGCTCTAGAGGAAAACCAGTGCGTTTCACAGCCCTCTCTGAGCCTGAGACGAGGGCTAAAGTCTGTGTCCCATCTCAGAGAAACCTGTACCAAACAATCCTCAAGCCAAAGCACTAACAGATAAAGTATGAGAGGATTTCCTCTGAGACATAGAAGGAGGGAGGAATCCTCTGAGAGAGAAAAAACAACCTTTAATGTATTCACTTGTGGAAAGTCACCACAGAGAAGTGAAGACATTGATTTACGCATATAGTGATTTCCCCCACGGCCAACACTGGCTTATCCTGGATTAGACATGAACTGATGACTTCATAAATAGTAAACAGTATATTTAGAATTAAAACGAGTAACCTGTGCAGCTATTTAGCGTCAATCTGAAACTGAAACGTTGCATTGCTATGAAATAATCGAATAACATAATAAATGCATGAATGAATAGATGGAAGTGAGAATGAGAATGAAATGAGGGTGGGCCCACTTGCAGGAGGGGCTCTGAGTGGGCTCTATTACTGTTTTCAAAGTTAAATATGTCTAAATATAGCCGCTTTGACATTTCTGCTGTGTTTCTGATGTGATAAACAAACAGTTTAAGGAGGTCGGCGCTCCTCACGGTTAGCAGGGCTGTACTCCCACTGCAGAGGCGGGGGGGGGGGTTGATGCTCTTTTAATGAAAAAGTCTGCACATCCCTTTGTGAGCACAGCTGAACCTGGCCATTCTCTGCTTTGTTCTTCCACATTTTGCTTTTTTGACTCATGTTAAAGTGAATTTAAAAATCAAATCGATTTTTCGTCTTTTTACCCCTGGGCCCCCCCCCCCCCGATTTTTGAAACCCTGTTATATTTACAGAGGTTGAAGCTGTCCACAGCTGGATTTGAACACAGCCCTGTGGGGGTGTGGACACCTTTGAAGAGTTACAGCCACTTGATGGCTCAATTTTTTGAGCTTCTTCTTTGTGTTTCGGGACAAAGGAGAAGAACACGGTACAGAAACGTCAGCTATTTTGACATTTCAATCCGCTGCTTCTGTCTTCTCTGACTTCCCAAGAGTACACACACTGTTAGAAAGACCTGAACAATACAACTAGCATCAAACCAGAGCACAGACTTAAGCCTGGGCTCAGATCCCTGGTTTAGTTTCGGCTGCAGATGTGAACAATCATGCAGCGAACCACAGACTTTGGTATTTTGGTAACACTGCACCTGGCCCCTCAAACTTCCAATTTTCCTGACATGCGAACCGTAATGAGCTCAGCCTCCAGCTTCAAAACAGGCCCCAAAACTCCACAATGGATACTGTATGCTCCCATTTCAGGGCCCCCCGCCTCCCCGAGCCGTCATCGGAGGCCTGAGCCTTTTTTTTTTTTTTTTTTTTTCCTCCTTCCGGGATTTCTTTTTTTTTTTTTTTTTCGCCAGAGGTTCTGTAAGCATCACTCCCCCTCGGTGGGGGTTACGTTTCCTCCTCTCAGCCAAACACTCCACAGATCTAAAGCAGCTAGACAAACGAAGGTTTTTCTCCTTTTAAACAGCACAGCAGGCATTAGGGTTAATTAACATCAACTCTATTATTAACTCTAATGCCACATTTACATTATGTTACTTTTCTAATGGTTTTTGATGAAGTGGACTCGAGCTTTGTCTGAATTAGGAGCCTCTAACTGGTTGGCCGGGGCGGAGGGTTGTCGGTTTGACTCCCGTCTGCTTCTGTCTGTGGAATTTGCTGTCATCATGTCCTCCTGGACGGAGCGTTTCCTCCCACCCTCCAGAAACACGGTGAGAGAAACCGTGGATTTCTGTCCCTGTGTGACCCTGGGATGAACTGCTGACCCTGTCCAGGATGTGGCCGCCCCCCCCCCCCCCCATTGTTTAAAGTACACATTTTCCTGTATTAAATGTACGGTATACGACTCAAGGCCTTGATTATTCACACTGCACAATAAACCTCAAACAGAAACTTCACCCCCAGACATTTCAAATGTTCACTTTGGAAAAAAAAAAGTCTTCTTGTCATGTTGGAAAAGGAACTTTTCCCGTGTTTGCACACATAAATACAAACATAAATACAAACTAAGTTTGGGTAAACAACACAGTCATGATCCTGCTTTTTTACCAGATTGCCTCTGACCCTCATATTTTGGAGCCAGAGGAGGACCTGATAGGATTGTTATGCGCTGCTATGCTTTTCCTGAACATTGAGAGGAAGACAGCGAGGATAAGATCAGTTTGGGCCGTTGGAAAAGTTCCACATTTAGCTCTTCTGCAGCTTAGCTCTCTGGTCCCACTCAGAAAGCAAAAAGAAGTGCTGGTAGATCTGGTTTGGAGATATAAATGCTCCGTGTGTGTGTGTGTGTGTGTGTGTGAGGGACGGTGAAATGTGTTTTCACCGCTGCCTTTTCAGTATTTTCTGAAAGTTTACCTCTAACATTTTGATATGTAGCTTTCAGGTCCCCAGGGGGAATTTGATTTCCACAGCTCTGCACCTGTGTCAAACACAGAGACAACCAAACCTCCACCAGCAGCACACACACACACACACACACACACGGGCTAATAACACAAGACATCCAGCGGCAGGATACACCAGGGGGTGTGTGTGTGTGTGTGTGTGTGTGTGTCTGTGTAGAAGGGGGCAGTCTTCTGAGAAAACAAAACTTATCCTGTGAGATTCCCTCTTACGTTTTTCTGTTTTAAACGTTTACATTTGCAACATTTACTGTAAATCTCAGAAGTCCAAACACCAAAAACCAAAGTGTTGTTTCCAGATCAGAAACCAAACTTAGTTCTGATCTGTTTCTATCATTTCTTAACAGTTTCTAAATGCCAAATATGCCTAAATATGAATTACCCTGACTATAATGACATATTTTAGTAATGTTATTTCTTTTATCCAGACTTTGGGGGGTGGAGCGGGTCCTGCTCTCTCCTCTGAGCGTGTGCAGTGGCGTGGGGGGGGGTGGTCTGGCCGTAGGGCTGCAGGTCTGATCTACGGCTCACAGATCTATGATCTCATCACTCACTTTCTCTGCAGTTTATGCAAACTGCTCAGAGTACAGTACATGTGCGCAGCGCTTCTCCTCCTGAGCCCAACGCCGAAGAGTCACGATGGGGAAAATTAACGGATGCCTGAAATGCCTTTTTATCTTCTTCAATGTGCTGTTTGCGGTGAGTGAAAATTCTTTTTTTTTTTAATGTTTGTCTTGTTTCTTTTTGTAACATTAGGTTGATTATCAGGGGACTTTTTTTTTTTTTTTTTTTCCCCTGAGTTTTGTTTAGCATTCCAGCTTGTTTTTCTGAACTCAACAAAAACAGCAGAGAACTAAACTAAACTAAAACTATTTTAGAAGCTTATCAGGGTGTTTTCTTTTCTTTTTATAAAAACGTGTTCATTGCAAAGTAAATAGAGATAGTAAAAAAAACAAAGAATACATTCCAATATGATGAAAAATGGATTCTAAAAAACGTTGACTGGTATTAAACTTGTTAAAAAAAAACATGCTCACAACTTTCAAACAAAAGAAAAAGAAACCTGAATGTTAAGTGCCACAATGTTTAGCACTTTCTATTTTTTCTGAAACTTTAATTATACCCACATCGACTTAATCTGTGTTCTGTAAACTCTCACTTCCAGTAACAGAAAAAAAAAAAGAAAAGTGGCGCCCTGTTACAGTCTGTGCTCTTCTGAGGCACAAGTCTTTTTTTTCTCTTTGTAATTGACAAAAGTTTGCCTTCTCTTCTACTTTTCTTTCATTTTCAACATGGTGCTTTAGTGGGGTTAACACTGAGTGCTCTGTTTGCAGATCATCGGGTGTGTGCTGATGTATTTGGCGGTGAAAGCCACAGCCATTGCAGCCCAGGTAACCACCTCACAATCCATTTTATCAGGAATATTGCAAAATGTTCATTTTTTTCTCTACGACAAGGGTTTTTCTAAGGCTTAAAAGGACTGGCTCTTATGAGAAACCTCATTTTGGTGTCTGGAAGCTGCCGAAATGCAAATAAGTAAGATGTAAAACAACAACTGAAAGATTTATGTGTCCCTTCGTGCTGGGATGAAGAAATCTGCGGCGGTTTGACAAAGTCGTTAGTTTATTTGTAGTGCACAGAAAGCACTTCTGCATTGTATTAAGGCTGCTTGTAAATGATTAAAGTAGTCAAGCTAGAGGAATTGCAGTGTTTAGTTTGAGCTGGGCAGTGGTCCAAATGCGTTTAAGGCTCTGATTTCTTATCTTAATGTTGAACAGATGCAGCACAGGGAGGCTTCCCCTCACATTTGACTTCCCCTAAACACAAAAAAATAGAACGGCTAAGGGTGTAAAAATATAGTTTGAGCATTTTTCAAGCAAATTGTTTTCCATCTTGCATCCATTTGGAAGGATTTACAATAGGAGCCTAAACTTGATGCCACTTGGCTTTTTCTACGAAACATTTAACTTCACGATGTTTGTTGACTGGATTTAACCCATATTCAATTCCACGGGGAGCTCATCGGATGCTTATAAATAAACCCTATTGTCAGGAGAGTGATGGAAACAATCAGACGTGAAACCTTGCCTTTTGCTTTAGCTCGCTGGCATCCCGTTCAGGCCACAATGCTCTGGCGCCATAACGCCCCGAATCAGGCCGGCCAGAGGAAATAACAAAGCAGGATTCTGAGCCCTCCCCACACGCAGTGGAAGCACCGAGGTGCCTCAGGGGGGGGGGGCAAAGATGTGTCGGAGTCGCCATCTTCTGACGACGGGGGGTATTGCATCTTAGGACACTTCCTCTGGCAAATCTTAAACCAGATATGTTACATACAGACCACATGCAGACAGAATCTGTGATGTAAGAGAAGATTCAATTTCAATTCAATTCAATTGTATTTATATAGCGCCACATCACAACAACAGTTGTCTCACAGCGCTTTCCAAACAGAGCAGGTCAGACCCTACTCTGAAGTTAACTACAGAAAACCCAACAATTCCCACCGTGAGCAAGCACTAGGCGACACAGGCAAGGAAAAACTTCCTTTTTAACAGGCAGAAACCTGGAGCAGAACTAAGGCTCAGGGTGGGCGGCCTGACCCCCCCTCTGTGTGTTCTCCCCCGGTCAGCTGGCAGTGTTCGGGGGCCCGGGGGTGGGCTGGCTCTGGGTCATCGCCATCGGCGTCCTGGGCATCTCCACCTTCGGGATCTACGCCGCCTGCTCAGAGAACAGCCTCGCCCTCAAAATAGTACGGACAACAGTCCCTCACATGCACGGAAAACAAGCGGTTACTCCCGGTACACGCAGAATGACCGCCGCTCACGCTTGTTCATGTCCAGTTTGCAGGTTTCATGGGGGCTGGGATGCTCATCATGCTCATCTTTGGGATTGCTGTGGCTGTCATAAGAAACAAAGTAAGCTTCTGTCTGGCTCACTGCTCCATAATCGCGTCTTTGTAGAGATACCCTTTATCTCTGGATCTATTTTTGGTCCTATTTTGGACTTAACTTCCCTCTTTGCACAACTATGTCCATCTGTCATCGCATTCTGCTCACTTTTTATTTACATTTACAAATCTAGCCTTGTTATTTTAGAAAAATAAGACTGAAAAGTAAGAACCCGAGTGTTAAGGAGGGCTCAGACTTGAAGCAAATAGGAAGTTTTCTTGATGGAAATGTAGTCCTGCCTCTAAAAGACTCATCTTTTCCTGACATCTCTGGGTTTGAACAGCAGGTGGAAGCAGCTCCCTTAGACATGACAATCTTTTTTTGGGGGGGGCTGGAATGATATCTTGAGGATAAATTAAAAATATTAAGCATTGAATTGGCTGCAGGCTTGACACACTTTTTTAAAGTGATATTTTTGTAACGCAATAGTAAATTATGCTGAAAACAAGATGAAAAATAATCTCACTTGATCTAATTATTTTATCTAAAAGTTGCATGGCTATTAAAAATGTTTATTGCAAGAGAGAGAAGTGTGAAAGCTCCTGTTTTATCTCTTGTTTTGCTGCCAATGTCTCGTCCCTTGCCACTTCCACTGCATTAATCCTGTTTTCTTTTCCCCCCCCGTAGGTAGTGGACGGTTTAACAGGTGTTGCCAATGAGTACATCGAGGCATTCATGAAAGAGCAGGAGTTTAGGGACATGCTCAGCAACCTCCAAGAGAGCGTAATGTCCTTTCTGCTATATACGCACATATCTTTGATACAAAACGATTGACTTTGTTTACATGTTCTGAATCCAGAAGCCTTCGCATAGAAATGATGACACCACACTTCTTACCACAGTTACCACGTGAAAATTGGTAGAAATATCCTTGCATTTCCAGCCGGTGATGTTTTCTTGTCTCTGCAGCTGCACTGCTGTGGACTCCTGAGTGCCAAAGACTGGGGGTCAACCATCCCGGACTCCTGCTCATGCCCCGGTAGATCCTACCAGAGCTCGTGCACGTCCCGGCCTCAGGTGCATCTTTTCCCCTTTTTTTTTTAAAGAAAACTCCCTCCCAACTGGTGGAATGTACTCTTAACATTTGGCTCTAAGAAGCTGTTCGGGGTCATGTTTTACTCATTTCTTCATTTGACATACTAATCAATTCCTCATTGGAAATGGGACAGTTTAATATGAGAAATAAAGCTGTTCTCTGCCCATCTAGTGGTAACAGCCATTTTAAATGCTGCCCACTGACTATTGTGCAACAAAGGGTACTTTATATTTAGGGCTAAAAATAAGGCTAGATTCCTTGTAAGATTAAAAAAAAAAGTGATTCAAACACAAATCTTGAAAAGGCCACACCTGAAAATCAATCAATCAAAACATTACCTTCTCTTTATCCTTTATCTATCAAACCTATTCCCTTAAACAGGACACCCCCAACCACAGATTAGTCCACTTTTCTTTACTGTTTTATCTGAAACACCACTGTGGTGATATTCTGACTGTCCTCCTATCATGCATTATAAGGAATTCAGGTAAACAGATACTTGCCAATCATGGTCTCTAAGAATATAATCATTTATTTGCTTTTTTTGTTGTTGTTATTTTTAAATGGGTGTTCAAAATGTGAATATGCTTCTAACCTCTTTTTTTTTCCATAGGGAACTTCAGGGCCAACTGAGATCTATAAACAGGTATTCAATCATTGACCAGATCTTCATCCACCTGGTCTCCAGATGTTGTTATCTCACCTGTACCGTCTCCTCCACAGTCCTGCGGCGGGTTTATCCTGACCACCGTGGACCTGGTCTTCCAGATCATGATGGGCATCCTCTTTGGATTTGCTGTGACTGCTGTAAGCCTCTGACCAAACTCCTCTCTGTCAATTTGGTAGTTTAATTGGGTTAAATAAGGGCAGACATTTTTGGACGTGTAACTGTGTGTGAAGCACATAAGTTGGTGGGAAATTGGAAAGTTTCAGTTTTTTGAATGTTTTATGGGGTTCTGTGAAGCTCTTCTTTCTCATAAACAGATTATTATGTATTATGGTGTCTGGAAAAAAGGAGGGCAGACATTTTTGGACGTGTAACTGTGTGTGAAGCACATAGGTTGGTGGGAAATTGGAACGGTTAAAGTTTTTACAATGTTTTATGGGGCTCTGTGAAGCTCTTCTTTCTTATTAACAGATTATTATATATTATGGTGTCTGGACAAAAGGAGAAAAATGTATTTAATTGTCATGCAAAAACAAGCTTTGTTGTCTTAGGAATAGTGATCAAAATTGAGAACTTAAGGCCTTAAGGCCTTCTCCTATTACATAAAAATATCTAATTAAAGCAGGTCTGACTGCAGTTTGAAAGAGGAAAGCCATTTGGGTTAGTTTGGCTGAAGGCTGTTAATCCTTCAGCTCTTATATTAAAGTTGTATCTTTAGAAGGTTTGATTTTTTTTTCCCGGTGGCCTTTCCTCGCTGACCACTGTGTGTGCCCACAGCTGCTGGGCCTCCTGATCTCCATCTACATGGTGTACCAGATCAGACGCCACGACGGGGCGGGAGGGGCCTCCATCGCCATGAGAGGCTACTGAGCGGCCGCCGCCGGCCACAGGAGGACTGACCGGCCAACACACAACACAGGGTGATGCTTTATCTCTGCACTCTGAGAGAGAAGGAAGGAAGGGGACGAGAGGAGGAAAGGCATGATGGGAGGAGGGTCCTTTAAAAAGGAGAAGCTATGCCTCAATTTTTTTAGCTTTGTTATTTTGCTATATTTTTTTTAAAATTGTCATTTATTTTGATTTTCTGATGGATGCAGTATCTCTGATTTTGTCGAAAAGACATTGAACAATGTGATAAATTAAGATTCTGTGTTATTGCCACTTAAAGAGCTCCTGCATGTATGTCAGAAAAGTGTTTGATGCAGATCTTTGAAAATGTTCAATGCTCATATGCCAAAGCCGTATATTCCCTGCTATATAGTTTTCTATTCTATATTTTTGTATCTAGCTAAATGCAGACTTTGTAAAAAGTTCTGTAATAACAATAATGACATTATTTGTGAATTTATGCTATTTTTTATACAAATCCCAATATTTTGTTCGTTTGTTAAACATTGATGCAGCCATGAAAATTGATTTAGTATGAAGTAATTCATATATAGTGTGACTTAGGATAAAGCTAAGAGACAGTAACTATGGTCACATCTTCTACTGATCATTAAAATAAACAGCAGGACAGTCCCATTCTGAAACATGCTCTCATATTCTTCCCGAATAAACTCTTCAGAATTAAACCCATTTCCACCCACCTGTCTTGTTCTGTCGTGTTCTGGGCTTCCCGGTAGGCCTGATTCTGGGGGATGTTTGGCTACGGCCATCTTAAATGTCTACGGCCATCTTAAATGTCTTAGCAAAAAGTTCAGCTCCCAGGTTTTGGGTTTGGAGGAATTGGTTTTTCTATTCATAAAATTTTACACATTTTTCTCCATTCCATTGACGTATATGGCTCGTTGAGATGCTCTTCATAAACTGTGGATGCTTATTTATTGGTAAAATATTATTATTTGACTTATAGACCTGAAGGTAAGGGTTTGAAAAACTACTACAAAGCTATTGATTTTTACATGATTTTTATTCTTCTGTGGAGAAAGTATTCAGTGTGTTCTGTTAATTTATTGCTTACAGAGCAAAGAGTGGTCAGGTCCGCTCAGAATCCATGTGACAGTTCTCTGATTTGTCTTTGGACATGTAAAACTTTCAGGAGAATCAGTGACCGATTTGTCTCATCTCTCTCGTCAGGGTTCAGAATTTTCTTCACAACTTCAGCAGCCACATTAAAAACCAGCAGCCTTTTAGCATCTGAAAAGCTTTGCCAGAAGCAGAGGAATGAGGTCTAAAGACCTGCTCACTGGGCTCTAAACCAGCTGGGATCCCGTTCTGACCAGAACCAGGAAGTACTAGAATTGGCTAACTATACTCCAACCTTGATTTTAAAAAATCTCATTTTTGTCTGCTGGGTCTCCAAAAAGAATTCAAGTTGACATTTGGCTCATTTGGGATTTTCTTTGTGTCTCTGTCTGCGGCATTTTCTGTATTTTTAGATTTCAAAGAGTGGAGTTTAAAGTTTCGGATTTACAGTAGAAAACACTTTTTATCTGTGATCACACGTTAGACTTTAAGAGCACAACTAAAATGGCTTTATTTTAAAATCCCAAGAGGTCATCAGAACCTTAAAGCTTTTTATTACCGTTCATTTGTTGAAAACTGGTTTATTTTTGTCTCTGGGTTATGTTAGAACATTATAAACTCTTTTCAGTTATCTAAAATGAGAAATCCTGACAGGCTTGTCAAAATCCCAGTCTCATTGTCCTGTTGTGAGTTGAAAGACAATTCCTGCTCACACCCAGATCTGATTTTGAAACTAATTTCACTGGAGGATGAAATGAGGTTTAAATGAAGATGTAGTTTAAAGACTTTCAATTCTTCCGGAAAAATGTGCACAGAGGCTGTAAGCTGCCAAACAAACTTCCTGAACATCACAAATCTGAAATACAGCCACGACTTAGCCGTCTTTAGGCTTCAATGCTTTTAATTGGTCGACAGACCAAATACTTCTCAAATGAAGATGAAAAAGTGACAGCTGAAAGTGGCTCTTTATGCTTTTATTTATGCCTCTGGGGAGTTTCCTTTCCCAGCTTGGACACTGAACGCCTCACAGAGAGGACAGTGCTGCTCTTTCCCATCAAGCAGGGATGCCCCCCCCCCCCCCCCCCCCAGACAACAACAAAAAGGCTGCAAACCCCTGGGAGCTCTGCTTAAACTTCATTCACCCGAAAGTGGTTTGTACAAAAACAGACAGGAAAAGTAGGCATGAGCCTGAAAGAAGTCCTCTGTTCAGAGCAGTGATTCAACATTAGCACTTTTTTAGGAAGCCTGTCCAGATTCTGATGCAGATGAGGAGTCCAGCTGTGTTTCACACGTGGAGGAGAAGCTCTTTGAGGGAGAATTCTGTTGTTTGGTGTCTTCATCATGGATACGTGATGCTAACAGGCATCAGGATTGCAGGGTGTTTTCCTTTTCCTGTCTTATGTGGGAACATTTACTCCGGCTCCTGACTTTTCCCCTCCTGTTGCATTACCACTGTCAGCCTCTAGGTGGCGGTGCACACTAAGAAACAGACATGAAACAGCTCCCTCCTTTATTCCGAGATCCTTTTATCTTTACTTCCCGGTAGGGAACTATGAACTGCTGCTCTTTCCCAGAGCCGGCCAGTACCAGCAGGACACACAACATTTCCTGACCTTTGACCTTTGCCTTGATGGATGCCTTCATCCTGGAGCTTATTCTGCTTCTGTTCTCTAGACCCAAATGTCAGCTATCAACGGCGTCTTTTCAAAGATACTCTGGAAGTTTTCAAAACTGGGTACAAATCACAGAGTGAAGATTCTGTGTTTTAGACAGGACCTACCATGATAGGTATTAGTCCCCCCCCTCCTGACTGGTCGGTTTCAGAGAGCTGACATTTGATGGAACCTCTGGCTACTTATGAAGCTAAGAATGAGTCTTACAACAGAAAGATAAAACCGTTTTAAGAAAGGCAAAGAAAACCCAACATATCTGTTCTTTAAAATATCAATCATGAAAACACTCGACAGCAGATTTCATGGGGAAATAAGACTGTAGTATAGTATAGTATAGTATAGTATAGTATAGTAGGGTATAGTATAATATGGTATAGTGTAGTATGGTATAGTATAATATTGTAAGTTATAGTATGGTATATTCTAATATGGTATAGTATAGTATGGTATAATATGGTATAGTATAGTATGGTATAGTATAATATGGTATAGTGTAGTATGGTATAGTATAATATTGTAAATCATAGTGTGGTATATTCTA